AAATAAATAAATAAATAAATAAATAAATAAATAAATAAATAACACACTGGCCCTCTGGGGAATGACAGGGACACAGAGACTCCCATCACACCGCAACGTCTACCTAAGCCCACTGTGAGTCATACTAAATCCATCTATTCTGGATTCATCAGACCCTCATTTGGGTCCACCTGTCCACCTGCAGACAGTTAAGCACTTCCTCGATCATGTTTAGTCTGCTGTCATCCGACACTGAACACCTGAGCTTAGCCTGCATCTACTCTTTCTTTGGCTTCTGAGATAGTCATTCCTCAGTGACATCCTTAATCGGACCAGTCACCAAGGCGACACTGTGGTTTGTGAACTGTTACTGGCCCATAAGTACAGGAATTGAGAGTATCAAAAACTTTTATAGTAATTTGACATTAAGTTTATGTGTAGTGAATTTGAGAGCAGGAATGAATTTTTACTGCAGGTACCTTTATATTCATTTTTAAAACCAAAACCCATTTTTGCTGTATCTGACAACTGGGCATCAATCCTGGCTTTTAACTATATCTTTTCTCTCAGGCTGTTAGTACACTATTACACTGACATCAGTTTTTTTTCAGACTGTACTATAATTATAAACCACCTACATGGATAGCCAGCGCTTATCTTAAAAGACAACTTTTTTTTAAAAGGACATTGGTTTCTGCATACTGTCAATTTCTGTCACTTTGGTTAGAAGACTGTTCAACATTTTTACTTCTCTCCTATATATTTAAGAGAAAATTACAGGAAAACTATTATCACATCCTGTGAACTTTTAGAACTCTCTTCCCTCTATTTCCACAATTACCGTCCATGCTCCGGCGGTGAGCACGGTTTTCTTTATGCCTCACGATGCCACCAAACTCGTTTCCCACAATCACGTCACCATTTCCTGCAGCGCTGAAGAGCGCAGAACAGTTCTTCCAAACTCAAGCAAAGAGAGGTTCAAAAATCCCTCTACCTTGTTTTCCAGGTGATGCATACACTGATTTTACCTTTGAGGCCGTGTCCTTCCTCATTCCAACGCTGGCCCATGCTCTATTCAAGCTTGCTTTATTCTACTGGGATCACCTTGGAATGTCCTCCTCCACCCTGATCATCTTGGTAAAAACTCTACCCCTCTAAGTCCTACCCACCAAGTCAACCTAAATTCACCTGTAAACAGGGAGCTTAAAGGTCTCAGAGCTCACCTCCTGAAGCTTCAGGACCATAATGGAATGCAGGTGTTTCACCAAATTATCCAGGTACGGGATGAGCAGCGATTTGGGGCAGTCTTCGGTGAAGTTGATGAGGGCAGCGGCAGCGTGGGCCTGCACGCGCTGGTTGCCTTGGTCTTCCATGGTCTGCAGCAGAGCTGCAATCACCTGGAAAAGGAAGCCAAATCAGTACACCTTTTGAAAGGTTCTGCCTTCCTACCAGTCTGACTGGAGCATCTCGTTACTTGCCTTCTCATGAAATTTCTTCTGGAAACCAGGTGCAAAATCTGTAGCCATCTGTCCCACAGCATTGCAGGCTGCGTACCTTACTCTTGGATGCTGCAATGTGTTTTCTTCTATTAGTAAACACAACAGGCTCCCATGTGAAATTACAGAAATAATTAAGAATGAAATATTTACTGGTACTTACAGGATCCTGAAGGAAAAGCAAAACAAAATTTACTATCTCATTCAGAATTCCTTCCATTTGCTGGTGGCACCCTTCACCAATGGCAGATAAGGCCATCAATCCCGCATGCCGGTATTTCCAGTCAGCTACAAAAAGGAATTATATTTGAAACATTAATTACATGCTACAAAGACCATTCTGGTAGTCAGAAGCTTTAATCTGCAATTATTCTATTTGGGAAATAGTAACAAAACTTTTTAGACATTAATAAGAACAAGCGTTGGGGATATAGCTCAGCAGCGCAGCGCCTGCCCGGCAAGCACAAGGTCCTCAGTTCGAGTCCCAACACCAGAAAGAAAAAGAAAGAAAGAAAGAAAGAAAGAAGGAAAGAAAATGCATTTTTTTTATTGGTGCCTGTAATCCTAGCACTTAAGAGGCTGAGGCAGGAGGATCACCATGAGTTCAAGGCCAACCTGGACTACAAAATGAATTCAAGGCCAGCCTGAACTGCACAGCGAAACCAGATCTCAAAAAGAATAAAAACAAAATTTTATTGGATGATTTAATTGTATTCTAATATTAATGACTCTTTGATTTTTTGGTTAATAACTATGCTATGTTTACTTTACTCCATATCCTATACTAGTATATAATTTCCCTGGCCCTGATTTCTAAGTATTTCTACAGCATTCTAAGCTATACTCCTTCAAACTCTTTGTCAAACAAAACAAGATGCACATATATCTAGAATGCTACGTCTCAGTGTAGAGATGGTAACAATGGTTCTCAGAGTGGGACCCAAGAACCTTGGGATTCTCTCAAGTTCGAGTTCTTTGGGGGTGGAGGGCAAACTATTCTAATAATATCCTTTCATTCTCATTTTGAAGGTATAAATGGAGTTCCGTACTCCAGAGATACAGTATTCCAGAGATTAAAACATGTGAAATCCCAAGAGACTGAATATGCAGAAGCATGTAACAACTTAGCTAGTTAAACGCATTTATAAAAACGCAGATATTCTTAATAGTCTGGAAAAGTCATTCTTCATAATGTTTCTGTTAATAATGATTCTATTACTATTTTTAAATGAATATTTACAGGATTTCTGTTTTAATTTTTAAGACAGTACACACTGATTGATCTTTCTTAATTTTTAGGCTGGTAAAGGGGTCCTATGACCAGAAACTCCCAAGTTTAGCAGATTAAGTTGCAGAAAAATCTAAATTATGTCAGATCCATTTTTTACTTTGGGGAGCACAAAGCTGATATAAAGTAATTAATTCTACTACAGATGATTCTGAAGTGTTCCTACTACCCAGTACATACTGGGACTGTTACTTACAGGGACAGAGATGCAGCCTAACGGGGGCATCTGCCCGACGTGCATGAGGACCGGGTTCAGCGCCCAGCACCACAGACTGGAAACTTCTATTATTCATAATTCTTTCTGCACCAGCAATCACACTCAGGACCTTGCACTTGCCAGGCAGGCACTTGTGCCACTGAACTACATCCCTGGCCCCTTTTATTATTTATAATAACACACTATTTATGCTTTTAATTAACTTCAATCACTCCCCATACTAATATGTCACAATTTCTCAACTGAGGAATAACAATAGCAATGAAGAGTTGAGTATCTACTAATCTTTACATACCAAACTTCTTAATCTAAGGAAGAAAGGCAATGTACACTTGAAAACTGTTATTTGGTTCAGGGAAAAAAAAGAAAAACTTTACAGTATTCCCATTGTGCAGAGTTCCTGGAACCAAGTTCTGCAGAATGTAACAGCAATGGTAGGGGAATCTAAAAATAGCTATCCCTTTAATTTTAAGGTTTAAAAACTTTACTGCTTTTATTACTTATAGGAAATACAAGGAAACTACTACTTGAAATTAAGCAGAACATACGTTAAGTTTTCTAGTGTAAAAACACCAATTTGGAGAGGCAAAAACTAGAGAATTCTGTATGTAAACAGATACCCAAATTATTTCCCCACTGTCATTAAATTACTGTTTCCAAACTGGAATATATGCATCATTTACTCTTGTGAGGCATTTTTTATATACATTATTTTTCACACACACAAAATAAATCTTAATTTTCACACTGGATGTAGGGCAATCACTTTCATGAAATTTTAGATGAGAAAACCAAGCTGCAAAAGATTTATTTGCTAAAAGTCACACATGCAACAACATCTCTTTCTTAAGAGTTCACTGCAGCTGAGCATGGAGGCACACATGTTTAATCCCAGCTACCTGAGAAGCTGACACAGGAGGATTACAAGTAGGAGGGCCAGCCTGGTCAGTTCAGCCAGACCATGACTGAAAATAAAATAATAAAAAAGCCTGGGGAACGCAGCATGGTAACCCCCGCTCCAATCCCCACTAGCACAAAACCAAACAAAAGCAGGTCACTGCTGTAAATGAAAAAGCATTCTACACCTAGGTAGGGAGCTGTTAACAAATTCTTTAAAGCAAATCACAAGCACATTCACGACAAATCCATCTGAAGTCATGTGAATCAATAGAGGGATACTGACTGCTTGCTCCCTTGAGCAATCTTTTATTATCTCTGAGTTTCACTTCACCTTAAAACTGGAAAGCAAGATTTACTACAAAGGAGCTCTTATAGGTCAAGCAATCTGTGATGATGTCTCTATACTTCTGTAAAAAGACTAAAACAAATGAGGGTGAGGGGCAGTGATGGTACTGCAAGATCCAGGTAGATAATTATATTATTAAAAAGAGGCAATGGCTTTTGACCAAGCCACTTCAGGATAGCTAAGAATCTGACAGGAAAACAAACTAAGTGACCCAAGTAAGGGCTAGAGTTCACAATGATTCATATTCATCTGAAGTTGATATTGTGCCATTCTATTTTACTACTTTAAAATCCTTCACATCCTGTATCACTAGGAGTGCATGTCGGGTGTACAGCTGTGCTTAGTAGGAGGCAGACCCTGGATTCAATTGCTACCACTGAAAACAAACAAAAGAAAAGATCCTGTATCAATGGTTCAGCCCATGCCTGGCTCTCCTATCTGCCTTACAAGTAATGTAATACATACAACACAAGTATATTTTCACCTAAAATAAACCAGCACTTCTGTAGAAGAGTGTTTGGATCAGCATTATTTGTAATCAACTAAAACTATTTAACTGGGATTCCAGCTGTTATGTGGTGATATGATGAACTGCTGAGTAGAAGCTCAGTGTATCTACACGGTATATTCGCGCTAAAAATAAAATTAATACATATGCATACATGAAGTGAGAGAAAAGTTTCAGAGTACTACTAACAGTGGTCACCTGTGAACACAAAGTAAAAGACTTGTAAGTCATATACTTCTATTTTTCTTTTTGGAGACAGGTTCTGGCTGTGTAGTCCAGGCTGGTCTTGAACTTCCAGTGATCCTCCTGCCTCAGCTTCCCACAAACTGGGATTATAACATGTGCTACCACGCCCAGCTCACTTCTGGGTTTTAATTTTTTAAATATATTGGGCATATTAACTTCATAATTAAAATGGGCCAATAAAAATAAAAACATGCACTGGGCATGGTGGTGCATGCCTATAACCCTAACAATCTAGGAGACACCGAGACAGGAGGATTCCTAAATCCCAGCCTGGGAAACCGTGAGACCCTGCAAAAAGGAGGTGGCTTTGGAATGTAGCTCAGTGGGTTCAATCCCCTGTAATGAAAAAAACAACCGAACAAAAAAACCTTCCCCAAACAACAAAAAAACTTTGGTACTGATAGAAGCTATGGGTACAAAGGCTGACAAATAACCAAATATTTGTTAAGGAAACAGCAGAAACACAGAAAAGGCTTCTTTTCTGCTTATACTAGATAGGATTTCTTCTTTTTAACAGATAATATTAGATGAAGAAAGATCATATGAATTAAATACGCTAATGTTATAAAAATTCCTGTACGGATGTCTTTTTTAAATTAAAAGTTAGCCAGGCATGGAGACACACAATTGTAATCCCAGCTCTCAGGAGGCTGGGGCAGGAGGATTGCCATGAGTTCAAGGACAGCCTGGGCTGTGTGAGTGAGTTCAGGGCTGGCCTGCACTACATAGTGAGACCCTATTTAAAGAAAAAAAATGTAAATATTTCTGGCTAGCAAGTAAATCTATAGATTTTTCTTTAGAATTGATAATTTTTTCCTGCATACTGAAGCCAATTCTGTGGAGAGAAAGTTGAATAATATTCTTGGCAGTGAGGAAAAACATTCTTTAGCATAAGACATGGCTCCAAAAAGGACTAAATGAAATTTCACCAGCAGAACAAATGAATTAGATTAAGCATTCTATAAAAGGCCGAGATTAAAACACAGTCTTTAGATTTAAGATTTGGAAAGCCACATCCCACCACTGTAGCATGTGAAGCACGGATAGCTTACGGTTTTGAAGCATCTGCATAATGTGTTCCTTGATCATCGGCAGAACAAGCTTGCCACCAAGTCCACACGCCATCCGGTCTAGAGCACTCTCACCAGCCACTGCATTGCTGAACACACAAGGAACACATACAACACACTGAGAAAGTGTGCACTGAATATGCTGTTAAACCAGGACCAAGAACAAATTCAAGCAGACTTGTGCATGTGCTGTTGAAGCTGTGGTTTAAACCCTACAGCTGAAAATAAAGACTAAATGAAAACTTTTATCAAGCTGTACCATAGTTCAAAAAGTCCTGTATCTAACTCTTACTTTTCAACACTCAGAGGTAAAGAGCAGGCTGTTAACTGCATCTCACTTTCTAGAAATACATCCCTCAAACTCGTCAGTGGACAGAACCTAGAAAATGGAAAGGGGTGCTCAGAATGAACAGGATTTTCCCCTCTCCCTGCCAGCCCATTCATCTTTAAAGAGGCACAAAAGTACACTGCCAACCACTATGAACAGGTTTCACTGAAAACTGAGAGATTAGTGCATAGAAGTACTTGCAGTTACTCTGGCTCAGAGCTGCAAGGGCAGCAGGGAATCTGCCATATATATATATATCATACTTAACTGGTCTGTGAAGACGAAACTATAAGCAATGAAACTCTAAATGATTTTTAGAACAGGCTTTTGGACCTAAAATCCTGGTATTGAAAATAGTTATGAAAAAAAAAAATTAAAGTAACTTGCTGGTAAGAAAACCTTATTGAGCCCAGAAAAGTAAGTTTCTTAAAGCATATACCGTATAGTTAAGTGTTGTTTACAGAGCAAATTAAGGACAGGCAGCAGCATGTTGCAGTAACTGAATCAGAGGAAGGAAACCTGATCTAACCCGTGTTCTCTTCAGCCCAGTGAAGCTCACTTCAATATACTTCACAGTGCTGCGCTATAATTGGTCATGTTTAATAATGCTGCAAAAATGCAGCATGTAGTCTATAAATGTTAACAAGAAAAAAATGGTTATAAGTCCTTAATTTAAGCTCACTAGCTGGCTATGTAACCTCAGACAAATCACTCAATCTTAACTCTGCATTTCTGTACCTGAAAGTAATATACCTTCAGGACAACTCGAAAAAGTCAATTTAAGTAACAGCTCCAAGTGCTACGCTTCATATACATGTAAGGAGCCGTCTTCATCTCTGCAAGCACAGATCTCGATGCCTTCTCCACAGGAATCAGTATTCGTGGGGGCCTACTGAGCTGGAATGACTCCGTACAACAGTAATTCCAGTCACTGTCACTCAGTGGACAAATCTCACCACTGTGACCTCTGAATCCTGAAGCTTTTCTACTGGAAAAACAATGTTTTGTACGCAATTTTGCTTAAGTAACTTTTTAAGTGAGGTCTTTGGATATAAAAGTTCATGGATATTTTAAAAGAAATTCCTAATTTTAAAGAAAATTTAAAATACAAGAATAAAAGATGCAAACTTTATTTGCTATATTTCAAGTTTGTCATAGGTATCTTTTCTGATTACAAAATGGTTTTATATACTATTCTTCACTAGTGAAGTACGCTTTAAGAACTCTGATTAAATGTACGTAAATTTTAAAAATATAAATTATATGTGAAAAATAAAATAACACTTATAAAAAGTTTAACTTCTGGTTAGACACGTTACACAGCAGCAAAGAGCTGGGCTTCATGGCCGGAAAGTTCCCTTGCGCCCTGTTCCCAAGCCAGCTCTATCCCCATCAGCACACGATTACCTATCAAAATCATCGTCTTCCAGTTCATCCGCATTCGCCCAGTCCTCATCCTCTTCCAGGTCAACCATCATCGCTAACATCTGAGGAACTAAAGTGAGAAATTATTTCACACTCAGGCACTGTGATTTCATGTAATCCTGTCAGTATCACTTTACCATCTACAAGAATTTTAAGAAAGGTTTTACTTTGCCTTTAAGAAAATGAAGCGCAATAGTTGGCTCTTGGTGTCCATGGTTTCCATATCTTTAGATTTAACCAATCTCAGATCAAACAAGCAGTCAGGAAAAAACTACATGTACCTTTTCTTTTTCCCCTTGTTACTCCCCAAACAACACAGTTTAAGGATTCATATAGCATTTACGTTGTATTCAATGTTACAGGTAATAAATACAGGACTTAAAGTATAGAGGATGTGAGGTTACATGCAAATACTGTGCCATTTTATAAAAGGGACCGGGAACTAATCTCCCATGTATATCAGAGAGTCAAGTATATATTTGCTGGTGTCTCCAAAATCTGGCTTGTTCTGTTTGCATGCAATACTCGTTTGGTATCTTTTTAAAAGGTAACATTAAAGCTGCGAATACAGCTCAGTGGTATAGTGCCTGCATGGCAAGTGCGAGGTCCTGAGTTCGAGTCCCAGTACCAAAAGAAAAAAGAAGAAAAAAAGGTAAGATTAAGAACCAGCAAACATTGTTCTCCAAATTCTATATTCGATCCCCAAATTCTACTACATTCTCTTCCTCTCCCCTTCACCAGAGATAAGCACTATTGCTAAATATCTATCATTCCCAAACTGTTTTTACAGATGAACTACCTACATTTCTATATAAAATTACATACTATTTTGAGATTTTACGAATACATAAATGGTATCATACTGTATGTACCTCTGGCAATCTGCCTTTTATTCCTACACATGAACTTCATTAATTATATGTCCCACTAGATAAACGAACTATTCAGCACTGCTGCTGAACAATTTTCCTCTGAGAACTTGATTTGATGAGATTATTATACACGTCTTCTCCTTGGCAAATGTGAGTCTGGGCTTAAAACTGTTCCAAATATCGTAAAGACTCTCTTCAGCTGCTGCATAAACTTACACTGCCACAGAAGCTGCCTAAAGCCCGCCTTACTTTGCAACAGTGTGCGGCGCCTGCAGCTGGACTCGGGGTCCTGGGCGCCACAGCTCTCATCCACACTGCATGCTGTCAGCTTTTCTAACGGCCAAGATTCCCCAACCCCGCTTTGTGTCAGATGCTCTCGGCGAGTTTCCTGTTCTTGGCCTTTGTCTGTTTTCTACATGCCAAAACTTTGCTGACTGTGCGGTCTTACAGTTATTAGTTCCCCTGGGTTTGTAGCTTGTCTTTTAATTTCAAATATTTGGTTGATTAAAAGATTCTTAGTATTTGCAAACATACCATGATTGTATCTATGGTTTGTGACCATACATTTTATAAGTCAAAGATCATGTATATTAATATTTAGGCTTTTAATCAACCCCAATTATTTAAGTTATATGTGGTTGGAATATTATTTTTTCCACACTAGGACCCATGTCCTTTGTACTAATTTTAGGGTCAATTCTATCATAACCAACCCTATTAGGATTCTGACTGAAATGACACTGGATTTATTGTTAAAAAGAACTAAAGTTGACCTCTTCTATTAGACTTTTGATGTATTATTCATTTTCTCCATAAAGGTCTTTTATCTTTTGATTTTGAGCCAGGCTTTCTATTATTAACTTTTTTGCTTTTCTAGTAAATTCTCAAAGTAATTATTATTGATATATAGGAACTGTTATTTTGATCAGTTCTAACAATTTATCTCTTTGCAGACAGCTACATAACCTACACATATGCAGTAATTTTGTTTCTAATTCTTATTTTTTATCTCAATGCACTGTCTGGAACTGTTAGTACACAGAAACAGTAATAGTGAGGATACTTGCCTTCTTCCTGTCAAATGGGAAAGTTCCTAAAATTCTGACCACTACACTTCAGTGTAAGATTAAATCTAGCAGTATAATTACTTTCTAAATCTAGTGTTCAAATACCTATTGGCATGTGAAGAAATGACTAGGTCAGAAAACAATCAGGCTATTCCTAAGTTCTTATCCTAGTACAATGAAACTTCAAAGTAGTATTTCCACAGCAATAAGATCAAGTGAAATAGTTATGTAAGTTTCTCCTGCACAGTATAAAACAAAGCAACATAATATAGTGAAGCTAACCTGGATCAGTGTCAGATCTGCATTCTGATCCTACCTTCACTGGTAATACCATAATTATGTAACCTCAGTTTTTCAGTTTGCTCTGACATATCTATACATCCCTGAGTTACCTTTGACTCTATTAAATTTGTTATGATATAACAGAGTCTATTACATTGTCCACTACAGAAATTCTGCTTTTAACAACAGGTTGCAAGACTCTGCAAAGTTTTAAAAGTACAATACTGGGTCCATATACACAGGTATGGAGATGCATATCTGTTTTATCCGATTTGAAGACATTCAAAAAATCTAAGAAATCACGTAAGCCTCAGCAAATTTAGCCACCAATTTTGTCACATTACACATAAACTTCTGAAGACCTCTGACTTACTAGTCTGTGCGATAATATTAGTATGCTTTCTTAACATAGCCGCTGCAGTCTCCGAGAGGGTCACGATCACTTCCAGGGCAAGCTGGCGCTGCATGTTATTAAGGCTGGTGTCTCCACACAACTACAAAGACAAATTGGTGTACACATTTAATACTTTACAGTACTGCCTGCAAAAATAACGTCTACTCAAGTATTTACTTTACCTTTAGACTTAACTGCAGAGTTGCTTCCAAGTGAGGACGCAAATACTTTGGAACAGTATCTGCGATTTCAACAAGGGATTTTAGGACCGAATCATCATTCTGGTAGCATGAGTCATTAACAGCCTAGAGACAAAACAGAAAAATGTCCGGATTGAAGACTCTCACTTTGTGATACCTCCCTAGCCAAAACATTCCTACAAGGCAGTCAACAGAGAACTACTCCTGAAACTACTACTAAATGTGTGTGGCTAGAATCAAAAGGGACAGTAACAAATGGTGTTGAGGATGTGGAGAAAGGGACTCTTACACATTGTTGGTGGGAATGTGAATAGTATAGCCATTATGGAAAACTGTACGGAGGGTCTTTTAAAAACTAGAAACGAAAACAAACAAAAAACCCTAGAAACAAAAAAAAAAAAAAAAAAAAAGAAACAGAGTTACCATGATCCACAATCTCCTTAGTGTGTATATCTTTAAAGGAATTAAAATCAGTACACTGAAGAAACATTTGTACCTGCATATTTATTACAGCATTACTCAAATATGGGATCAATCTAGGTGGCTACTGATGAACAAATCAATAATGAAGATGTGGCACACATACAGAATAGAGTATTATTCAGCCACAAAAGAGTAGGTCATTTTTTCATTTCTAACATCACAGAAAGTTGAAAGATATTCAGCTAACTGAAATTGCTGGGGATAATACCACAATAAATACCCTGTGTTCTTTCTTATGTGTGGAAGATGAAAAAGTTGGTCTCACAGAAGTAGAGAATGGAGCAACGGTTACCAAAGCCTGGAGCTGTGTGTGGTGTGGCTGGTGGTAATGCACAGCAGTGTAGTGCAATAGGAAGAGCAACTTCCTTCGTTCTGTATAGGACAGTAGGGTAACTACGCTCCACAACGAATGATAACGTGCACTATTCAAAATCACTACCAGAAAGGATTCTGAATGCTCCCAATAACAAGAGGTACGAAATGTTTGAGGTGCAAGGTAAGTTAATTTCTGACTTCATCACTAGTTGTTGTACAGGTACCCAAATGTCACCCTGTACCTCATAAATGTGACAATTACTACGTGTCAAATACAAATACACTTTTAAATCCTAAGTCAAAATGAAACCAGTGAAGATATAACTACCACAACAAAACTTAAGACAGTCAACGACCTCTTTTCTGTAACCACACAGAATCCCTTTCCTCTGTCCTTTCTATAGCCACGTTCTACTCTGTCATACACACATCAACACCTGACCCTACAAGTGTCCACACTACCCATAGTTGTCACTGTGGTATCTAAGCCTGCATTTTAAAATCTACCATTATTTTCAGGCAAACATTTTACTTTGAAATCCAGAGAGAAAAAAAATCTGTGGGATTAGATTTAAGCTATAAAGATTTTTAGAGAAACCACTAAACAGCAGCACATATACTTGGAAATTTTGTCACTGAATTGTATGTTTTCAATGTGACAACGCGAGGAAAAAACTTTCACCATTCCCTGTTAAAAGTTTCTTACAACACAGAAACCTTCAATTTCTGCTCAGCTCAATTCTAACTCAGTGGCTCTCAATGGCAATGCTGTTTCTTCCTGGAGTACTTTCCAGCTGTCACACGACTGAGCAAAAGCCAGGGATACTGGACACCCTGCATCTGTGACATTGAAGCTTCTATGGGATTCACATGTTCATCTCATCAAACATCTCACAAATGCCCAACATTGATAAAAATGGAAGATTATGACATGAACCTAGACCCTAGCCACAAATTATTTTTTGCCTGGTTTTTATGTACAATTGGTCCTCTATACCCAGACTGAACCAACCGAGAGTCAAAAACCTTTGGAAAAAAATCTGCACATATACCAAACATGTATGAACCTTTTTCCTTGTCATTATTCCCTCAACAATACAGTATAATAGCTATTTACATAGCACTTATATCCTATTAAGTATTAAAAGTAATCTATGGAGGATTTAACATATACGTGAAGATTTTATATGCCATTTTATACACAGGACTTTAGCATGCATGACTTCTCTGCAGGAAGTCCTGTAATCAATCCCCCAGGGACACTAAAGGATGATATGGAAATCCCCAACAAAAGTACTACATACATCAAGAATGGATAAACACTTTGCTTTATCCAAAGCTTGTCCATGTCAAGAAATTTTATCTTCAACATTAAAAATAAGCTGGTATTTAATTTGCTGATGATATCTCTGTATCAGTCCAATTTTAGTTATTGCATTTGCATGGATAAAATTTTTTATCTGGGGGCTGGGGATATAGCTCAGTGGTACAGCGCCTGCCTGGCAAGTACAAGGTCCTGAGTTCGATTCCCAGTACCAAAAAAAAAAAAACACAAAAAAACACAAAAAAACCCAACTAGAACCAAATTTTTGATCCATGCAAATGTAATACCCAGTGGATTTGAGTCAACTATGACTCTCAAGTGTAGTCCTGCCTAAGCATTTATATATGGAAAAGCAAGCCATTTCATTACAAATTACTGTATTTCTCCTTTGTAGTTAGCTGTGGTGGTATTTTTAAAAAATCATGCATTTCTTGAGTTATTACCTACCTATGTGCTTCATTTTAGGATAGTATTTGGGCAATTACAGAATATATATCAAAAAAGGGAGGAATTTCAAGTCTAACAAGGTGAGAATCTTCAGCCTAAGTTATCTAATCTTATTCTGCTTTCTGAATAAGGCAAAAGGCATCCTTAAAGCATTAATTTGTCCATGGAACTAATATAAATTAACCACAAATTACTTTATGCTGCAAACAATGATAAGCCCTATGATTAACAGTACGGAATCCACTGTCTTGAGTGTATGCATTGTGATCCGTCCTTACTAACACTGTGGTCCTTGGCAAATGTTCAATCCTCTCCTCTGTAGTTTCTCCTTATATAAAATGGATGTTGAATCTCAGGCTGTCTGGTTAATTTAAATGACCTATGTGGTTATATATTGATACTAGGAATGTAAGTGCTTATATTATTTATTATATAGAAAACTTCTGTAACTAAATATTTTGAGGGGTAAAAATGTCAAGTGCAATAAATGTCAAGTGCAATAAATGCTCAATGGGGACTGACTTGCATGTCGTCTTTACTGCTATAACCCTAGTACCAGCACACAACTGGCAAAAAATATGTACTATATAAACGAATGGCTGTTACTATAGAATTCTGATGAAAATTAAACCACTGAAAAGCAGTATGTCATATAATTAGAATTTATTCTATACTATTTTCTTACCTGTAAGAATCCAGGTAACAAGTCTGCAAAATGTTTGAACAGAGCAACATTATGCTCATTTGCGAGTATAAATGCAGCTGTGGCTCTAGCTGATAATGTCCTGATCTAAAATGAAGAGTAAGAAAGTCAAACACAAGAAACTTTTGAAAGATGCAAGGTCAGGTTTTCTTATTCAACATGAAATTTTTCCTTATAAACAAAACTACAATTTACATTTTAATATGTAAAAATAAAACTGAGCTCCTAAGAATTAATTTCTTTTACAAGTTTAACTTAACATGTTTGTACTAATGGAATTGAAATTACTTACTGATGGATGTTCCTGATCTTGCATACACTGAGCTAACATCCGTTTGATGACATCTAAATAGTGCTGCTGTTGGTTCCCAAAAATTCCAGGAAAGTTCCTAAAAGATGATCCAAAAAACACTCTTTAAAAGCTTCACTGTATCTTTGTAAAGCATGAGTTAGAATCTCTAAGGAAGGGTTTCCCTGACTTGCAACATAGGTTAACCTCAGGTCAGACACCATCTAAGGATGCTCTCGGCAATTCTCCTTCCAGGCTGGGTGAATGGAAAAGAACAGCACAAGTTTAGGCTGGGCACAGAGGCTACTCTGCAGCCCACTCTCAGCTCACACCCGTGTTTCCCCCTGTGGGAAGCTGACCTGAGTGCAGGAGGGCACAAGAGCCAACCATGCTTTCTGACCATCTGCTGCTCCTAGCTTTGATGAGCCCACAGTCCAAGTTCTGCTCTACTTTACATTTGGTGAATAATTAAATGGAACGTGTTTGACAACTAAAGTAGAAAATAATGTAATATGTAAAAATCATATGTAGAGCCTATAATTTGAAAAGTTATAAATCCAATACATACATATATATATATATATTCCCCCCCACCAAGGGGGGTCTTTTTGAGACAGGGTCTCATTTTGCAGTTCAGGCTGGCCTTAAACTCACTCTGTAACCCAGGCTGGCCTGGATCTCAGTGATCCTCCTGCCTCAGCCTCCTGAGTGCTGGGGATTGCAGGCATACAATGTCACACCTGGCTATTAATCATATTTTAAACACAGTAGAAAACTGGTTAACACAGAAGAGTAAAAAAGAATAACCTAATTCTAAACTTAAACCACTGGTTATAAGCACATGGAAGTTTGTTAAAATATTATACAGCACGAGCAGGGAAGACTCAAAACACAAAGGGGACTCACTAGCATTCTCTTCTTATGCGACGCAGGTAATAGAAGGTGTTTTAAAAGCTATGCTATCTCTAGAAAGGACATCAAGAACATTTTCAGAACCATAAAAGACCAAAAAAAAATAGTGTGTAAAATAAACAGGCTTCCTTCTTTCAAAACAAATACAAAGCTTATCAAAGACACTATTTTTTAGCTCCCAAGAGCTAAATCAGGCTAAGCTGATGAATTACAACGTTTCAGACATTCTCAACGTTAAAAAACGTTAAGCTGGACGTACGTACCAGAAAATGTGAAGGGCAGCTTCTCGCAATCCCATGTTTTGAGAGCTGACCGAATCAAAAAGAAACTTCAAACCCTCAGGCCACTGGTTGTTGCCATCTTCATCTAAAAGTATAAAAACCCAAGCATAAGGTAGAACAGTTTGACTCGAGAATATTAAAGGTGAATTCTTTCATTTCATGAGCCTCATTTAAAATACGGAGTAGTGTAAATGTCACTTGCTCTGTATTTTTAAAAATTCCAATAAAATTAAGTCCTGTAACCATAAAATGGCACCTTATAAAAAGACAATTTGTATAGATGGATTACATAAACAGTTATTAGCAGCAGTTATTTCTAAGGAGAATTTTAAGAGGAAAACAGTATTTTGAATTATACAAATATTAACTCCTTTGTGTTCTCTATTGTTATTAAAGCATTTAAAAAGTTGAGCCCAGTGATATATACTGGTTAATCTCAGCGTAGAGAGAGGCTGAGGCAGGAAGGCCACCTGAGTCCCACCTAGGCAACTCAGCAAGACCTTTTCTCAAAAAAACTAATGGCTAGGGATGTAGCTCAATGTGAAGGCCCTGGGTTCCAGCCCCAGTACTGCCAAGGGGGGCAAGTTTTAAAAGCAGGCAAAGATTGAATAATTGGTAATAAGGTTCTGAAAACAAAATTATTACTTTCAGCCTAGAGAAGACACCAGAGTGAGAATCTCAGGATCTATAGTGCATATTTATCTTTTCTAGCTTTAAATGCTATAGGATGTTACTGATGTTTATTATTTTCTCCCTGACTATTGAACACAGGGCCTTTATTTTGAGTTACATCCCCAGTCCGGTTTCATATTTAGTTTTGAGACAGGGTCTCGCTAAATTGTCCAGGCTGGGTTTGAACTTGTGCTCCTCCTGTTTCACCCTCCTTGAGCACTGAGATTACAGGCCTGTACTACCATGTCCCCCTAATATGTTTACTTTTTAACAAGATTAAAACAGAGATTTTTTTTAAAGCATAGTTTATAATAAAAACAAGTCACCACAAAAGCTACTGTGCTACTCATGAGATTCACTTGCTACTTTGTCACAAAGATCTTAAGACTGAACTTTAAGTTTGAGGCTAGACTGGGCAACTTAGTGAGACTGCATTTTTAAAGGGGAAAAAAAGGAAGAAAAAGACTGACGTGTGTGCTTGGGAAGACATGAGAACAAAACTCTCTTCCCTTTTTTGCAGCGCTGGGCACTGACCCCAGGGCTTCGCACACACTAGGCAAGCACTCTTACACTGACCCCCACCCCCAGCCACAACAAATCAACAGTTCCTCCAGCGTGAAGATAATGCTAAGGGGGAATAAGAGCGCCACTTTGGAAAAAATCTAATCAGGTATTTTGGATTATCTGAAAATGTGTCTATATTAAATGATTTGAATCTGAAATACTGTCACCAATAAAAGTCTGCACCTGCACTTAGAACTTGAAAACAGAATTTTGTAATCTAAAACTATTTCAAATTAAGAGTTCCAGTGGATTTTGAATTCATTTATTTAAAATATAAAAGTTGGTATTTTCCTTACTAGTTTCTAAGAATCTGGTAGCAAAATAGGATGACAACTTGCTAGCAGAACGGAACAAGAGCACTGGCATTACCGGTTGTCATGATGTGCTGAGTTCAACCAACAGTGCTCTCCCGCTTAGTCACTATCTTCACCAAGTAGCCTTTCACTACTGAAAATATCTTCTCGATGAACAACGATTATAATTACACCTATGAATCTCCATTTTGAAAAAAATGTACGTTATGCATATCTAAAATGTACCAATAAAATCTAAGAAAAAACTACAATAAAATGTAGCGGTTGGGGGTGCAGCTGTGGTAAAGTATGTGCTCAGTATGCACAAAATAAAAACACACACACAAAAAAAATCATACTCAATTGCAATTAGATTATTAATATTTTCAGTTGACAAAAAGGCTTTTAGCATTGAAAAAATGCATTTCAGAAAATGCTTTTCTTTTATCTCATTCTTTAAAAATACTCCAGGGCATTTTATAATCTATAAAATATAAACTGTAATAGCATATGTGTACAATTTATCAACGTGTATATTAATAGCAAAAGCACCTGGAGTCCACTGATTCCCACTCCAAGTGACAGGTTTAATCTAGAGTTGTTATACCATGTGGTAGCCTGTACTTCTAAAAGTGTACAGATCACAGAGGAATATAACAACTTACAAGTGAATTACAAAATTATTTTTCCATATCAAAGTTCTGAATAACAACAGGTAAACGTGGCGAAATTTCATAAACATCTATAATTTTTGGCTTTAAATGCAGAGCCCATAATCTCATTCATTTTGAACAGAATGAGTAGTACTAAGATACAAATCTTCCTGTGAAAGACTCCATTAAAAAAAAAAGAAAGAAAAAGAAAGACCCTGTTCCTCCTTCCCCCAGAACATAAAATCTACTTGCATACACACCTATTAAATTCCTGGCCAGTTCTGCAGCAATATCACAAATTTTCTTCCTCATGCTAGACTGCGTTTCCATCTGAATAATCATTAGTAGCTCACTCTTGATGGCAGTCTGAACATCCGAGGGAAGAGTTGGATAAACTTCATCAAACGCAGAGGACAGAAGGCGTCTCAGGAGAACAGCGGCCATTTGTCGAGCCTACGAACAGACAACTTCATGTGTTAGTAAGACATTTCCAACAAGCTAGGCCCATTCTCCCATGGATGGACTTCACTGTTCTATTTTTCTACTTCATGTCTAAAGCACCTAGTTAGCTAAAAAAGAACGCGAAATATGTAAAATTCTAGACACACAAGTCTATCATAATGAAAAGTGCCACACAGCCATTTTTACTTACCAGTGAAAATAACTCCTAAACACATGAGAATTCTGATAGGAACACTATAGCAAAGGATAAACTATTTCTAATTCCTATTTCTTGATATATTCTTTACCAGAAAAATAAATCTTAAAGTGCAAATCCTGCAATGCTCGCTGTCTACCTTCCCATCTGGGTCTCACTCTAGGAGAGAAGCACCTTCCCACTGAGCCCCAGACCCCTCCTCCAGCTTGTCCTGGTATGTAACTGTCCGTGTGCGACAGCTTCCTAGATCAAACACTATGATACCATTTATCTTTAGGCTTCTCTCACGGAAACAAACACTGCACGGTGCAAATACTGCTGGGTATGGCGGCACACGCCCACGACCTAGCACTTAGGAAGGAGGCTGAGGCAGGAGGAGAACCGTGAGACCAGCCTGGGCTACATAAGTGAGTTTAAGACCAGCCTACACTACACATTGGAAAAAGTTGCTAATACCTAAATAGTAAGAACCAGCCTCAATGTGTACGTTCTTAGATTCCCATCTTTAAATGTGCGGAATATATATTTGTGTGTTACGTATAGTTTCCCTGGAAATTATCAAAAGAAAAGCTGAGACAAATGGCACTCCAGTCGTATTAAAGCCGGGAACCACTAAAATATCAAATTTAATTTCTCCTGCTCTCATTTTTTCAAGGCTGTTGCTACTTCTCCTACTAATTACTTTGGAACTATGACCAACAAAAAAAGTTATGTAAATAAAACTTGCCATTTTTTTCTCTGTCATGTTTCCTGTTTATTGAGTAATGTACAGCAGTTAGCAAACCTTTACCTAATTAACATAGGTTCTTCACAAAAATAATTAAAAATGCCTACAGTTCTTAAAAGTGCTTTAGAAAGTGTGTGCAATGCACACACACACAATCTTCCCCAAAACAATGAAGCCACAATTAAGACCTTGTGGCTGATTTACAGTCACCATCTAATTAAGATTTAAGTAAAGTTTAATACAGGTTTTTTATACTGCGTTTGGGTGGGGGTTTGAGACAGGGTCTTGCTTAATAATTCAGGTTGGCTTTGAACTCATGGCAATCCTCCTGCCTCAGCCTTCTGAGTGCTGGGAGGTGTGCACCACTATGCCCGGGTTATACTGCTTTCTAAGTGCTACATGAGAATATGAGACTGACAGTTGAAACTGACTTCACTTCCACCAAGTACTAAATTACTATGAGAATTTATATATAGTGTGGCTATTAGCAACAGGAGTCTTATTCTGCAAATCCTGAATGTTACATTTCAAAGGTAGGATAAGTTTGCTACACCTGCCATATCTGAACATCTTTTCCAAAGTAAAGTGATATTCAATAGCATTCAATACTTTAAAAAATATGAGCCAGGCGTGGAGGCGCACACCTGTAATTCCAGCACTCGGGAGGCTGAGGCTGTTGCGAGTTTAAGGCCATCCTGGGCTACAAAGTGAGCTCAAGACCAGCCTGAACTGCATAGTGAGACCCTGTCTCAAGAAGAGCAAAAAAAGAGAATTTATGGAAAGAAAAGAAAAAATTGACTTTTAAATGCACAGAAATAGTAAGAAACTGTACAACTCTAGCACATAGGTGTTTTACCACAAGGAAAAAAGATTCTTAAAACATAAGCAAATTTGTATTTGATATATTTGGTAATTTGCTAAGAACCATGACATTAGAAAAAGTCTAAAGTGTCTCTATTCCTAAGCCTATTTTAGTACATGTTTCATCTAGAGATAGCTATACACATAAAATTTTATAGATAAAATATATCTTTGTAATATATTTGGTAACATTAAGATATTCAATGAACTAATTTCTTCCTGAAGAATGAATTGTTTCAATACAAGACAGTAATTTTTACAGATGCAGAAATCACTCAGATTTAATAGTTCTTAGGGACTTATTTATAAAACTGTTAACTTTTATCTACTCTGAACATATCACCTTAAGTGGAAAAAGGAAACTCTCGTAATAAGAGATTACTTCAAATAATTACATCGTAGCTCACAGACAGCTTTGAACAAATAAATTCAAAATTGTTAACTGACATTTAGGCAGAAAGTAATTCTCATTCTACACTCTAACCATCATCTAACCACCCTAACTTGTTTCATAAGAATGTAACACTCTCAAATATGAAGGTAGTACCTCCTCAGCAGCTGTTGTATTCCTGATGGCTTGTAGGAGGAATGTGATCTTTGACTGGCCTGGGATATTCTCATAGGTTTCCTACATGCAAAACAAAATTAAATGTTAGAATATGTTAGAAAACCTGACAAGCAAACCAGTGAAAGAAAGGAAGAATGGAAACAGTCAATTTCTTGATGTGTCTGTGTATTTTCTCAACTTATGTTCCTTGATTCATAAAACTCAGGGCCAAAAAATGGTCAAATACGACTTGAGCTATTTTACAAAATAAGTCCTCATTTAATATCCCCTTATATTTCAGGAAATTATGCATTTCATCAACATCTGTCAGACTACATGATGTAGAATTGGTTAAGTCAGCACTACTTAAACCCACCAGTGGAGGACCTCAGATTAAGCAAGTTCAGGAAAGTATTCAAATTCTTTATGCTACATTTTCTTTCAAGCAAGGATTATGCTAAAGCCTTATTATATACATAGACTGATTACAGCCAAGAGAAATTTGGTCAAAAAACTTACTTTTATTATTACTTTATTTGTGGTATCCTGGCCCTCACACTGGGCTAATCCCCAGCTCCTTTGTAAGTGTTTTTTGTGAGACAGGTCTCACTAAGTGATTCCTGCTGGGCTGAAACTTGTGATCCTCCAAGACTTCACCTCTGCCAGTGACAGGGTTAAAGGCATATGTAACTATGTTCTGTCCAAAAGGCTTTTTTTTTTTCCACACAAGGTCTTGCTATGTAGTTCAAGCTGGCTTTGAACTCCCAGCCATCTTTCTGCCTCAGCCTCCCGAGTGCTGGGACTGCAGGCATGTGCTACCATGCCTGGCTTCAAGGCTTTTTAATGTCATTTCTGGACCTATTAACAAAAGGGGCACTTGGGAGGCTGAGGCAGGAGTATGGTTGCGAGTTTGAGGCCAACCTGGACTACATAAGTGAGTTCAAGGCCAGCCTGAACTGATAGTGAGACCCTGTCTCAAAAAAAAAAAAAGCGTTTGTGACTTAGAACCCTTTTTCCTTCTCTAATAACAATGTAAAGTCTGATCAAATTTGTTAATATAAGTTGACATCAATTAAAAGACACTGTCAGAAGGGATCCAAAAACAAGATCCAACTAGTACATGCTGGTTGTAAAGCAAGCTTCAATTGTACAGACTGATACGCATGTGCGAATTTCTAACAATGGCAGTCTTCTACTGGGCAAAAGAAGTCAATTTAAGTACATCTGGAATCTTCCCTGAAATTCCTCTTAGCTGATAAACAATAATCCATTCTCGCCTATCCATTTAAGGGTCTAATGTGGGTAACATGAATTTCTTAGCAGTCTAAGTTCAAAGCGCTGCCATACAACGCTACCACTGCCTGGTTTCTCTGGACAAAGTGACGAGGGAAGAAAAGCTAGGCTACCCAAAATACACACCATGGCACAGGTGCCTGCCTGGCAAGCACAGCATCTTGAGATCAATTCCCAGTACCAAAAACCAAAAAAAACAAAAACACATACACCTACTTCACACCTTGTAAGCGTTCCCTGGCGTCCCTGGGATACTGACAGAAATAAAAGCTTACACCCTGTATGACTCCCGAGATCAAAGGTAGTAAATGACAGAACCCTGGTCTCCCAAGGCCAATTGTGTTCCAGATCTCTCTAGGACCGAAAGCTCTGGGTTTCATCCCAGGGGGCCTACTGTACTCAATTGCACACCTCTATTTATGCAGTGCTATGCAGTTCCCAAACTTCTCAACAATGTTTCAGTCTGGGGAAGGACAATCTGGGGAGAAAGGAGAACTTAAAATCCTCTGATAACCTTAAGTTCTACTCTAATAAAAAGCAGTAAGGGTAACAACATTAAAAACCATGCCAAAAAGTATTCACAGCTGAGAAGATGGTATGAATTTACTAAATTATGTAAAGATATTCATAAACTGAGTGCAAAAGTGGGTATATCCCTTGAGATTTTCCACTTTTTACCAAAACCACCCAAAAACTAGGAAACTTTTTCATTAGAAAGTCTTTCACACCAGGTGTGGTAGCGCATGCCTGTAATCCCAGGACTCGGGAGCCTGAGACAGGAGGGTTGCCATGAGTTTGAGCTCAGCCTGGACTACATAGTAAATTCAAGGCCACCTTGGGTTACATAGCAAGATCCTGTCTCAAAAATAAATAAATAAAAAATAGAAGTTCTTCACAGTTAACAGTGTAATCAAAATCTCTCTTGATTTCTTGTGCTGGGCAGAGCCCCAGAAACACTGTGGATGCTGTAAATGGTCAAGTTACATTTCCAGTTTCTGAAAAAACCTTGCCATTTGGCTATCACTCTCAGTAAATCTGCTATCAACTTTGAGGATCTCTATCCTTGCCCAGGAGGGACACTAGTATGACTATGCTTACTGTGATAGAGACTTACATTCACTGAGTCAAATATTCAACATCAGTCCATAACAAATCCAAAGCCAGTGCTGGAAGAGTTTAGTGTAAGCAGGCGCTGACTTCTAAGAGAGGGTCTCTCTACTTGATATGTTTCTCTGTGATAACCCAAATCTATCACATCCAACCAGAAGAGTGGCCGAGGATGAAGGTTTGGCAAAAAGAACATAGCCTTAAAATCTGAAGTGTAACTTTTTCTCAGCCTAAGCAGGTTCTACAAAGGCAGATACAGTATCTCTACCTCGGGTCCCAAGTAACTAGTACATTAGAATAGAGGGAAACTGTAAAGCATAGTTCTAAGACCATCCCTAGTACTAATCCAGGTTTGTTCAGTGAGTGTCACCAGGGTTGTGGCAAGTAAGTTTCAGTTCTACTTGACTGTCAGATACAATCACACAATGTTAAGATTTTCCCTCTCCACTTCTATCACAAAGGAGAAATGCTAGTAAGTACTCATCTCGTTCATTCCAACAATGTTTGCAGTGACCCTATCCTGTATGAGAAAATGGAAAAGGGGTTCACTTTTACCTCATAAACACCTCGGTCCCTCCATAATCGGGCATATTTTTCAATACATTACCCTCTTTCAATTGAAATCTCAACAAGGAAGTTCTATATTAGAATCAATGAAGAGTCAAGTCTGTATAGAGAATATTAAGAAAGACTACAAAATCCATGCATATGATTAATAAAATACTTAAGCCTGTATCATATAAAAATCTCCAGTCATGGGCTAGGGATGTAGTTCAGGGGCACAGTGCCTGCCTGGCAAGTGTGAGGTCCTGAGTTCAATTTCCCGTCCAAAAAAACAAAAACAAAAAATCTCCATCATAAACACCATGGATATTCAACTGTGAACTGTCAATTATTTATTCAATTTTTCATTCATGTTATTTGAGACTTAAGGGCATTCAAATCATTTCTTTAAACATAAGAAACAGAGCCGGGCATGGTGGCACACACCTGTAATCCCAGCTCTTGGAAGGCTGAGGCAGGAAGATTGCTGTGAGTTTGAGACCCACCAGGGCTACAAAGTGAGCCCAAGGCTAGCCTGAGCTGCATAGCAAGACCCTGTCTCAAAAAGACCAAAAAAAAAAAAAAAAAGTAAACGTAAGAAATAAGGTTGAGGATGTAGCTCAGTGGAAGAGGGCTTGCCTATCCTGCACAAGGCCCTGGGTTTGATTCCTACTCCCCGTCCTCAAATCCTTGACTCATCAAATGCAAAACATTTTCTGTAAGGCTAAAGGAGAAAAATCTTTGCAGATTTAAAAAACAGAAATAAAACATAAAGCCTATCAAGTGACACACAATGGGAAAAGTTTGAAAACTAAGTTTTAAAGCCCTTCAATGATTTCAAACAACAATAAAATAAAGCTTCTTATTGTATTTGATCTTATATCCGAATACAGGTCACTTTGTTCACCAGTTTGGTATTTATGTGTCAACTAAGTATTTTTATTTTGACTGAGTAAATTACAAAGACATTTACTGAACCCTTGCCAATTCTTTAGTTCAAAGAAAACAGTCCTACGTTTGCTTTATCAGACAGAGCACTCAATTTTATTTAGGTAACTTGTGAAGTCAAATAAAGCCAAAAAAAAAAAAAAAAGGAAAAAGGTACTGAGGAAAAGATACTTTACTTTCCTAAACACTATTCTGACCAACTCAGAATAGTGTATTATAAGGCACCACAGAACTCCCCCTTAGACTTTTTGTCAAATTTAGAATTCTGTATCACAGTACTTGACATATAAATATATTCTCAGGATATACAGAGAAAGTTTAAATGTAGTATCTGAATGTTTTCACTAAGAGTAAAGAGACTAAGAGAATAACAGCACTTATTTCCAATTGTTCTTTATAAGAAAATGTGCTGAACACCGCTAACTATCCCCAAAGTGATGTAAGTGATAAAAGATTTACAACAGGCACCAATTGGAATTCAAGCTGAACCAGACACTGGTATTTAGTTCAATAGTAGAGAGATTCCCCACTAGGCTTGACAATAGAGACTTAAGCAAGTGGAGGGAAGAGGGAGAATTAAACTAGCTTACTAATTACAATGCTGTTCTGCTGTGTAGCACACAGAAATTTCTATTATGGGTTGGTAGTAGGAATTTACTTTGGTGAGGAATTCTCTCTAGAGTTAGCAGACGGCATCAAAATATTTTTTAGCATAATCATATCCTGAGTGCTTGACTCCCTCTTTTCCATGAAATGCATGTACCTTAATTCTAAATACAAATGCTGTTTTTAAGTATTCTATAAATAAACCTCACACCATATGCAAAGGCAGGTATAGATGAATTTCTATGCACAGCACTACTTCTTCTTAAGAGTAGGACACTAGAAACCTCAGTTATCCATTCATAGGCAGATGTTTATGTAAGTAATACATTTTATCTATATAAAGTATGGTCTCTGGCTGCTTTAAAAAAACTGTAGCAATATGAAATAGAGTGAAAAATACAAGTTGTAAGGCCGGGGATATAGCTCAGCGGCACAAGCGCCTGCCTAGCAAGCGCGAGGTCCTGAGTTCGATTCCCGGTACCAAAAAAATAACCAAAAAAAACAAGTTGCAGAGTACTGTATACTATAAGTCTCCAAGTAAAACAGGTACACAATACATGCTTCTAAAAAATTCACCAGCCATT